TTATTACAGCTGACAATGAGGAAACGGTGCACAGTTGACAAACTATACTCATTTGCAAGTTCAGTTAGTGTTAGCGTGAGACTCAAGCGAATCCTTGGCGAATATCGTAAACAGGAGATTAAGCTGGGATTTGGTTGAGTCTCCTGTTGCTACCAAATAAGTTTATTTCATCAATTTAGTACCCGCCCCATTTAGACTATATGCTGTGACTGTAAAAAAACACGCATATATCATTGTAATAGATTGCTGCGAGCGAAAGCATCTACAGAAGATAAAAGTGAGGAGTCACGTGACTTGGTTTTAAGGCATGTGATCCACGGTCACCACTGTGGTAATACTCAGGTTTGGTTGAAAAGATGACAAATGTGGTGGCAAGAGGCGTCCACAGTTTTGGAGCATGCACGATGTGACAAAGATGGCAAGTTTCCATAAAGCAGACGAGATTGCAGATTCCAAGAGAGATGAAAATACTATCCTATTGATAGAACCTGCTCTCTGACTTGCTCAAAACAGGCTTGTCATTGCCACTTGAATGCGGAACCCTGTGCATCTGTCAAAACTGTCATGAAGCGTGTCAAAGGGGTGGCGTGGCGTGACCGAACGACTTTCAAAACAGATATTGAGATGAGATACTCGACGGACAGGGAAATCCGATCCTCTGAAGCTGCCAAGGGACATACAATACTGGTGTGCATGCGAAAAGTGAAATGACTGGAAAGGTTTGCATGCGAAAAGTGAAATGACTGGAAAGGTTCAGAAAAAATCCAGGATCTGAGCGGTCGGGATGACCGATTGTAGGATGGCAACAGTGCAATTCCGGGTACACACAGATCAACTAAAGACCGGAAAGGGAGTCGGGTGGAAGCGACGGGTACTGAGGAACTTTTAGGGGAGTCTGGATGTTCAGTCTTTGTGGCAGCTAAGGGTTACACTTCCAAACCAGATAGGCACAGAAATGTTTCAATACACTGAGGTCATATAATAGGAGAATTCCGGGTCGCTCAAGGTCACTTGTAGACTTGGCGAAATTCGAGGGCCACTAGCGGAAAACCCGGAAGACAGTGAAAATAAAAAAGTCGTTCAACTGTAACACCCTTTCGGTGCCTAACTGCCATGACGCCCGAAGGAAGCACGAGGGTTGGGATACTGCCAGGTTGCCCAAGCCTAGACAGGGGAAGTCGGGAGGCAGAGGTCGGGTGCGAACCACGGACCTTCCGGTCAGTAAATTCGCGCTCCAACCACTTGAGCCATCTCGCCCCCAAAGGAAGACAGTGAAAGAACAGAGAAACCAAACGGAAACAATCCACGATTCATCACTTTCCTGACAAAGGTGGAGCTGAAACCTCCATATATAGGAAAGCAGGTTCGAAAATGCTACATGCGACAAAATGCTCTGCTAGTAGTGTAATCCTTCACCATTCCTAAGGACAAAAAGCATCACAAGACACTTCAGCTGCATCTCTTAAGTGCATTTGATGGCATACAGACAACGGTGCTTCACTGCAATACAACTACAAAGTTTGCCTTTTGAGCCTTAAAGTGAAAAATAGAAAAGAATGGATGAAGAAGGGACCTGGTACTAGCCTATTGCAGGCATTCTGAGGTGCGTCCAAACGCTCAGTCAGATAGTCTGGGGAAAATGAGAGTAGGAACGCGAGACATCGATTAGTTGCTATTCCCTCTTGATGTCTCCGGTCGGGCGCAGGGGAGAGAATTCACAAGAACCCGGAAGGCGGATCACACTAGAAATATTCAAACTCTTCAAAATCTCTTTCGCACACTTCTGCCAAGTCACGACTTATTCATCGAGCAGTTTATGCCATTCTGAAGGGGGACACGGGGAAATACACTCGTAGACGATGCTTCGGCATGCGTAGCACATGATTGAGCCACTGCAGCTGATGGCGCTAGATGCCCTCCGTTTTCTAAGAATACTGGTGCGAATTCGTGGACGCCATCCAGCACCAGCAACAATTCTGAGATATCGGTCATGAAAAACTGACGACGTCTCACATCATCTGTCCGCACAGACCATATCTCGCAAGCAACCAGGTCTACAGGTGTGGCCTGGCACACCCAGTGACGCCTTCTGGATGTCACAGGTGACAAAGTGGGAAACGCGATTCGGGTACCGAATTCCGTCAGAGCCAACACAACTAGCGAGGTATGTAAAACTCTCCGCGGGCTCAAGTACTCCTACCTGAACTGCAAAGGGTCTATTCAGAAACTGCATGTTGCAAATCATGGATGACTACGCACGCACTACGCGAGCCGAAAGATAGTACAAAGGCGCTGAGTTCTTGAGCTT